TGCACTCTACTGCCACAGGCCAAGCTCACAGTTCCCTGCACAATTCTGAAACACCAGGAGCATCAAATGTTCCTTTCTGACTCACCTCAGGATCGGCACCTCTGAACACACGGCTCAGATGACCTGCAGTGGGCAAGGAAAAGGAACCAAATTCTTTGAGAAAACTGGAGAGAACCGTGGTCTATTTAGAACAGCATCTGAGAAGATCTCCCAGTCTGCATTTTCAAAGGTGTCCTGCTTGACTGGTGTGGTTTAAAGCAGCAACTAAAAAATCACTAGAAAACTTACTTATTTCTTGCTGTGAGATATGGATTAGAACAAGAGCAAAACAAGCTTAAAACTTAAATGGAATAAAGAAAGTTTATTTACAAAAACTACAAGAATAAGAAACCAGAATAAAACTTCCAGAACAACCCTTTTCTCCCCCACTACCCAACCATTCCCTTGTTTACATGACAACATGGAGACAAAAAACTTTGGATCTTTGGTGTTTACAACAGTCCCAATTCCTGCTGGAGTCTTTTCATCAGTCTTTGTAGAGAAACAGAAGTCTTCTTCTGCTATCTATGGAGTTTTTCACAAGAAAACAATTTTTCTTCATAGCTTTCCATTTCTCTGATGCCAGCTGCCCAGAAATCTGCCATCAGTTGTCTCCTCCCAATTCCCATCACTCTGAGGTGTGTTATGGGTCATGGGTCTTGGGATGTCATTTTTATGAATGAGTTATTCAAAGGCAAAAGTTCTCTTCATCTGTCTCTGTGAGGCCTCCTGGAAACAGAAGTTTTCTTTTTGCTTCTTAAAAGCCACAAATCTTCAACTCTTACTTCTCCCCCTCTGTTCCAGCATCTCACAGTGTCACAACTACTTCATCATTTGCTCAAAATCCACACTTGGAAACACTCCATTCCTCCCAATATACTCTGTCATGAATTAAAGGAGTTTTTTTCAGAACACTACTGTCCATGCCCATAGCTTTAACAGAAAAATATTTCAGCTTATTAAAGCATCTCCTTATTTCTCTTCCCCCTCTAAAGTTAATTTTTTTCTTCACTCTCTTTGATGGGTTGATGGTTGATCACTCCCTCTCTCTCTCTCTGGAAAAAAAGGATTAATCTGCAAGTCTCATGCAGGCAGTAAAAGAGTTAAAATCTTGCTAAAGCTGCAGATGTTGATGGTGTCAGGTTTCAGTTCAGTGGCAGAAACTGCAAACCAAGTCAGGCTGGCCGGCTCCGTTTCTCCCCCCACCCCGCCCTCTGCAGCCTTGTCCGGCCTGGAGGGGGGAGGAGGCCGAGACAGAGCCCTGTGACCTCGTCAGAAGCCAGAAACCAAAGAGAGCAAGAAATTCCCGGCCTCACATCTTAAGGTGGTGTTCACAGGTTGATCTCACTTCTCAATAGTTAAAACCGCTGCCAATTCTCACCCATGGCCAGGAATTAGTCAGGAGAAAAAACTCCCATCAGCCTCCAGCAGTTTCAACTTCCCCAGCTCTCAGAGCTATCTTAAAAGTAAAGTCACCCCAAGAGATTGAGCCAGCAAAGTGAGGAAATGCCAGACTCTGCTGCCACAGGCTCTCCCGTGGAGGGAACAGAAGCCCTGCAAATGCTGCCCGCAGCCCCCTGGCTACAGACACCCCGTGTTTTGCTGAAGGTGTTGACAGGAGCTTTACCAAACCAGGGGCATCCTCATGGTCTTTGTGTTTCAATAGCAACCCGGTCACTAAGAAAGAGCAGGGAGACCTACAAAAGCCAGCTCAGGTTCCAGCCAGGGAAAACCTCTACTTACGTGCCAGGTTGGTGAGGTAATAGCCGGAGTAGCCGATGACATAAATGGTGCAAACTGCAACAGCGAGCTGCTCCATCATTGTAGCACTGCTGTGCCAGTTTGCACACTCTGCTCCACCACAAGAAGAAACACGGCTCCTGTCAGTGTGCAGCTGCCCACTGACAAACGCCTCAAGCAGGAGGATGCTCCTGCACTGAGCAAGCCCAAGAGCTGCTCTGACCCTGAGGCCTTCCGTGCACCAAGGCAACCTTGGGATGTCACCACGACAAGGTGGCATCCATGCCCTGACATCACAAAGCCAATGCTCTGCGCTGCTCTGGGAATTGATGCAGAGCAACCCAACCTTCCCTAGAGCAAACACAAAATTGCCTGGGAGGTTCTCCTCTGTCACAAAGGGTCACAAATCCTTTGGTGGGCTGTGGGAAATGGAAAGACAGAAACTTCCACAGATACTGAAGGGTTTCATTTACAGCCTTGGAAGGAGCTTGGGTTCATGCAATGCTAAAGGTTCACAGACGCTGAGTCGAGAATTCATAAGCTTATGTTCCTATAGCTGCAAGTAAGAATATGCCAGAAGTAAATAAGAAACTGTATTGAGTGAGATGATGGAGAGTTTTCAACTGTAATTGTGTGATTTTATAGAGTAAGCTATGAATCTAAATATTATCCTAAGAAGCACATGTGTGTACGTGAGCTAGCAGTGTATTGGGTGAAAAGCAGACACAGTGCAGCAGAACTTGGCAAAGGTGAAAGGTGATTAAGTAATAATAAACTCCATGTCATCTGTCCATTGGGCCAAAATGTGATATATTGCTGTGTAACAAAGAAACTCGTGACTACCTTTGAGCTATGGCCCACTTGTTACCCCTCCAAAATCTCATGCCTTCAGTCTGAGACCTTTTCTGATATATTTCAGCAATAAATCGACTTCACAGCACCAGTGGTCCCACCCCTCATTATTTACAGCCTGACAATGAGCCAAACCCTGTTGTTCAAGAGATCCAAGAGTAACTCCAAGACTGCCCTGTGGAGAGAGAAAACAAAGAGAACTTGTCCTAAGAGAACAAAGACTGCTCCTCAGTCAAGGCAGGATGGATGGAACAGAGTTTCTAAAATGAAACAAGTAGCAGAAGCAGAGTAGTTTGCAGAAGAAATTGTTATACAAGTGCTTTTCCTAGGGAAATAAACTGATGTTGCTAATAGGGAATTGATCATGACTATTATTCCTTAGCAGCCATCTGAACATTTATACTATTGGCTACCCAGGCTCACACTATTCTAACCCAATAGGAAAAACAGCACAAAAGTGATGTACACTTGTAATAAATGTTTCCAGATATACCACCCCTGGGGACCGTGCATCGTTCATGCGCTGCAGTGCCCCAAGCACCCACATCCTGCCCCACAACTGAGCTCTGAGATGGGACTAAACCAAAGGAAATTGGGATTTTGGCCACTGATGCTTCTGACTAAACCCAAGAATGCCTGTTCCTGTGCCAAAGGAACTGCACAGCCATCAGCCTGCTGCAGCACTGCTGGGGCATCTCAAAGAAGCATGTGGGCCTGTGCCTCACCCCTGGAGCCCCCTGGGCACATTTGTGAGCCACAGAGATGAGGCTGCAATGGTCATAAGGAAAGAGAAGAAGAAAGTCACAGAAGAATGGGGGAAGATGTAGGAGATGGTGGGAGGAGGAAGCCAGAGGGATCAAATGGGTAACTTTCATCCAAATTGGGAGCTACGAGGCAGGGACCCAAGAGATGTGGAATAGAGACCCCATCACCTGTGACTTCCTTTCTCAGCTGAAAAGAAAAAGAATAGAGAAATAGCTGGGTTTTAGCTGTGTGTCTAGATATGAAGCCACGCTACATTTTTGGATGGCACCACACAAGTTCTTCAAGTTTTCTCCAAGCCTGCAGGTTCCCCTGCCCCAGGACCACCAGTGGCCAGTTTTGTTGGTTTTGCATGGGTTAAATTTTGGTGAGGAGGGAAGAAGCCAGCCATGGGAATGCTATTTCTGCTAAAAGGAGCTGCTAAAAGCTTTCT